CACCTCCTCCATAGCTTCTGAATTAAGTTTCATCCCAAGTTCTTGAAGATTCAAGCATGTATCAGAATCAATTCTGGCCTGGGTCTTAAAAAGCTGAGCAAATTCAATCATCCAATCTTCAACTTTACATCCACCTCTTCCGTATACCTTTGATTTAAAAGAATCAGCGGTAATTTTGAGTTTCTTCATCTCAACTAATCTTCCAAAAAAGGGATCCTGCTCAGGACTAACTCCCACTACATAGAACCTCATAGTGCCCTGTGACCTTGATGACACCTCACTCATTCTTAACTCTTCATCTGTTGTGATTGTCACTAAATCTCCTTCTTGGTCCCTGTACTTTATATGAACTGCTCTTAAGCTTGGGAAACGCTCATGAACAACTTCCCTAAGTTTAAAGAGAGTGCAATTTATAGGCAACTCAGCCAATCTTATGTCGTCAGAGTATACGAATTTCACATCCTTGTTTACATCTTCTACACCTACAACCAGAAGTTCCTCCTCAATTATCACTTTTTCCTTTTCCTTGCTCATATCACTTCTCTTATCCAACTGTTTCCCTTTTCCATTTTTTTTGCTCTGCTTATCGATAATCTTGTCCTTGCCTTTTTCAGCTGCAACAATATTCTTCTTCCCAGTCTCTACATTCTCACCCTCGCTCTTCTCTTGCACTTGATTGCTCTTTTTGGTTTTCTTCACTCGTGACTTGCCTAGTTTAGCCCACAGTGCTGCAGGGGAAGCCTCAACAGGTTCAACATAATCTGGAGGCAACTCTATCAGTGAATCATTAACCCTTAACCCTTTGCTCTCTAAAGTTCTCTTAAGCTTTTCAACAATTTCGGATGCCATGGGATTCTTGGGATCCAGTTTCGAAACCATACAAACATCTCTCAAAGCCAAATCCAACTTATTCAATGCCTCATAACATCTTGCCCTCTTCAACAATGCTTTACTATGATCAGGAGTAACACTAAGTGCTAAATCACATTCATAAATCGCTTTCGAAAACTCGCCTGGTTCCAATTGCATATAACAAGAAGCCATATTAGCTCGAACATGAGACACCTCTACATGATCCTTAGGAAGTATCTTGATAGCTTCACCATATTTAAACATTGCACCATCATAATTTCTCTTCTGAAACAACTTGTTCCCTTCTTCCTTCAAACCTTGTGCCTTTGAAACACAATCATCTAAAGATTCAACCTTTGAAACACAATCAACAAAAGTTTCAACCTTTGAAACACAGTCATCTAAAGTTTCAACCTTTGAAACACAATCAACAAAAGTTTCAACCTTTGAAACACAGTCATCTAAAGTTTCAACCTTTGAAACACAATCATCTAAAGTTTCAACCTCTGAATCATCCACTAATTGACTTTGGCTTGTTTCAGCATCTGTAGATTTGCTCTCATTTTGCTTCTCCATGGCAAATCCTCAGAAGCAAAACAACGAGAGAAAGATTCCAAATTTACAAACGATTTCTACTCATGAGGAGATTCTATGTCGGAGCTTCAAGAGAAACTATAAACAGCTAATTCCACAGGTCTGGTAATAAAACAGTGCACACAAAAGAAAGAATAGAAACTACAAATGTGTTTAAGTATAATATACAGAAGCCCTAGAGAGATTACAAGATAGAACACGAAACGTGTCTACCTCTTATGAATCGAGATCCTTGAATCGGAAAAGAAACGGCAATATTCCGGAGCTTGTGTCTGGGAAGATTATATGGGTTTTCTCGGGAATGAGATGAATTTTCCGTGAAACAGATGGGGAGAGGAAGAAGAAGCGATGGTAAAAGAAGAGGAACAAGGAAGAAGATTGGAGGCTCTGTAACGAGATAGCTTTGTCGTAAAGCCACGACGACTCGTTGAGCCAAAAAAAACATTATAAAAGAAATTAGTTTATAAAAATAAGAAAAAGGAAAAGAGAAGACGAATCGAATCAACCCAGTTTGTTGACACGTGTCGAATCTTTACAGCGAATTAATAATACTTTGGGAATTTTATTTTAAATCAAATTTATAATATGTTTTTTTTTTCTCAAGTGAAAGTAAATTAAAATTTAGTTAATTCATAGTGTGATTCAGTGCTTGAAATATTCAAAATATGGGTAGTAAAAAACAAAAATATCAAGTTATTCTTTCATATATTCTTCATATTATTTTAGGTTTCGATTCGAATCCCTTAGGTTATAAAATTATATTAGTATATATTTTTGTTCATGCATTTTTATTTATTGTTATAACTAATCGAATATAGAAAGCTTTTTTACAATATAAATACATAATTATTGATGAAAGCATGGTTGATCCAAGTTTGTCAATGAATAATAATTAAAAATGTTATTAGGAACGAGACAGATTAAAAACTTCAAATTTCAAAACAAAACAAAAACCGCTTTCTTAACCTAGAATGATTTTACATGATTGATTTGGTGGATCTAAATTATCTGATAATTAAATTAAAAATGACGATAAAAAGAAAGAGACTTAGTTCAATACAAACGACTTAGTTTAAATTGTGTGATTTTAGAGCAACTTTTGTTGTATATTAGGCAAATTGGGTTTATATTTTTCACTTACAAATTAATAATGATATGTCGGTTTGTTGTAACAAAATGCGATGATCATGGGATCGAAAATTGCAATGGTCTAATTGTAGCTATATATACCGTGATAATTTTCCGTCGTTACACCATTGGCTTTCATAAAAATTGTGATTATCTGATCATCACAAAAAGCAATGTGCAACCATTAATTTGTCACAAATTGCATATAAAATGTTATTGATTGTGCACGAATTTATCACCAAAAACAAATATTGGCAGAAGAATTACAAAAGATACAACAATTGTTAATAAAACTCATCCACATGTAGTGTTTACGTCCACAAATATTGTTTGGACGAGCCTAAGAACCACATTTAATTCACTTTGAATACATTTAAAAATCATTAAAATAAAAAAAACTAGTTTATAATAAAATTAAACCAAAGTCAGATGTAATCACAATACCACTACTTGCAAAACTTGGTAATGTCTCCCAATCAACCAAAAGAACTAATCCTATAACATGTGTCAACCTTTCTAATGCAATAACATCCTTTGAGAGAACCGCATTCTTCATATTATCAGTGAGATGCTTTACTATTTTTGGCTGATGTTCCCCGTTGTTTTTACAGCAAAATGTGAAAAACAGATCCACTAATGGAAAGGCCGAATCGCTCTGAAGTAACCTCGGCAAAATACGAAAAACATCATTAAATATCTCGGACTTATTTAAAGACTCCATATGTGAAACAAAACAAAGCTAGTTTATAATAAAATTAGACAAAATTCAGCTGTAATTACAACAACGGCTCTCATAGAGTGGTAAGAACTTGTGATATAAAAATCTCTAGCGATGATTTTTTAATGTTATCGGATCGAAATCTCTACAATCCTACAAACTGTTGCATAAGAAAACCTTGTAAACATAACATTCATTTTGTGATTATAGACTCTTACGCAAAAGAATCTTGTAAACATAAATATATATATATATATATATATATATATATATATTTTCAATACTATTATGAAAAATTGAACATATATATGTATATTTTGTGATATATATATATGTTTATACTTTTGTTTGGATTTCATCATGCACAATTTTGGATTCAAATATACACCGTAAAATTGTTTGCTACTATTCCGTCATTTCATAGAAAAAAATCATTGAAAACTGTCGTGGACTCGACATTTTCAACGAAGCTACACAATCTTATTTTAACCAAGCTATATATTTGTCATTATCTCGCATTTCTGTGTATAGAAACAAAATTTGCATCATAAGAGTTGAAAAATATTCGTCACCTAATATCTTTTATAACTTCGATTAAAGAATGGAAAATTAATAAAATATAGTCAAGATGACTAAAAGAAAACATGCTTATTTAAGCTAAAATAGATTCATCAAATTTGTTTAGAAAAGATCATCAGAATCTATTAACTCCTAATTACACCAATCGCATTAGGAAAAAAAAATCCAATCAAAACTAAGGAAGAATTCGAGCACACTGACTAAATCAAGTCCTACTAAAATGTGATTTACACAAAGTTCATCAATATAATGCGCCCAAGGAAAACCCTAAAAAATAGTTCCTTCGTGCGCAAGAAAACATAAAGAAAAAGGAAATTCAAAACCCTAGCTAGTTAATCTTGATCTTTATGAAAGCGGCTAAGCCGTGGCCGGAACTCAGAACGGTGATGGCTATGAAGAGACGACGGTTTAACTAGATTCGCCGCTAAAGATCTCCTAAACCTCTCCGCCTCAACACTACCAATCTTCGCTAGCGAATTCATCAACGCCAATTTCCTCAGATTCAATCCAACATTAATCGGATAATCACCACGATTGTTACGCTTGGCCGTCGAAGAAGCTAGGGTTTTGGACTTCTCATGTTCTAACCGGCGGTGAAAAGAGCACCGGAAAGAACCAGGGTGCGTCGTAGGAGAGCACAAACACTTTCTCTTCTGATGATTAGAAGAAACGGTTACGGAGGGTTTCGTCGGGATGTTTCCGGGAGAAAAAACCTTTAATCGGAGATTGAGATTGTTGCAAGGAGACGGAGATCGTTGACGATGATGATGATTGTTGTGTAATCTCTGGGAAGAAGAAAGAGGACGAAGAACTGATCGGCTTGATCTTCCAGTAGCCGCCATAACTCTGCACAAGTGAAGAGATCGAGAAGAGAGAAGCGTTTTGTTGGTTTTGTGGTTAAATGTTTAATAAAAAAACTGGTTCTGTTGAAGAAGATTCAGCGATTCCGTTTGATTCGCATCATCTATTTATGGAGTATATCTACGTAGAGATCTCTGGCGGTTGCGAATCGTGACCAGGGTTAGAATTGTCATTTAATAAAATATTATTTTCCCTTTTTTTTTTTTTGCTTAATTTTCCTTTTTCCTAATCGGAATTAAACCAATAATAAACCAGAGTATGTACCGAATTGGAAGGAAAAACCAGTGTCAATCCTTTTACTCCACCTTTTACCATTAACACTGAGTTTCATTTGCAGGCTATGCAAAAACCAGGATAAGGCAGTGAACAAAATTACCACTGCTCTTTGTTTTTGCTTTCACAACAGAACAAATTTACCATTTCTTTTACCTATACAATAACAAAAGTCTCCATTTTTTGTGCCTCAAAAAACAGAAGAACAAAACTTATGAGTCTTCCTTAGTGAACGTCTGAGGCTCACTGCTAGCAAACGCCAACCATACAACTGTCCCCGTCAAGTAGAAGAATATCGATGGCACGAATAGAGACATCTACACGGTAATCACAACTTTTGAGTTAACTAATCAATAAGGGATTGATCATCACTGACGGTAAAGCTAGCAACTTACAGTCCAGGAATGGGTTGAGTCGAGGAGAAAACCAGTTAGGGCCACTCCTACAATCCCAGGTACTGCCCCCACTGTGTTGGTAATACCCTGAGATACAAAAATATCCCACGACATGTTTAGAGGGAAGCTATTTCTTCATACCCAAATATTATTTCCATCTCATTGGCTTCAAGCAGGAATCATATAATGGTGTAAGTATGAGAACCACATGTACCAGGAGTATGCTTGCATACTCGGGTGAGATGTCCTGATGAGTACAATAAAGTCCTGTAAAATGGAACATAGTGTTTGTCAAATCCATTACAATAAACACTTTCGGGTGCATCTTCTTTATACGAAGTTACTTAAAGATTCTTGACAGAAGATAGCAAAGTAGAACATCTCCAGTTACCTGATAAAGCAAAACTTGATAGGGCCAAGCCTGCAGTCAAGATTCCTACAATTTCCCATGGTGGCAATCCAATATCCACAGATGAAAGTGTCATGCAGATCGCTGGGGACACAAACGCAATCGTTTGACAAATCTTTCGGACCTACAAGGCAAATTCCCGAGGAGTTTACATATCAAAGTGACGGCAGGTTGATCTAGATAACTGGGTACCCATTGGTGCAAAATGAGAAAAGGGAATTAAAAAACACTTGGATAAATTGAGTATAAAATACTAGATCTGCAAGAGCTTTCATGTTAAGACCCTTTGGGTTTGTTACAAGGGTACATACAAGGAAAAGAGATGTGATTTTATACCGTGGTAGTCTCAACTCCATTTGTAATTAAGTAATCAGCAAATTGTGAAGCAAGACTTGTCACGACAATCGAAGCCAATGGAGGAAGGATGGAAACCTGATCTTCACATCCACATATTAAATCCCAAAATGTTATACCTTTGCAAAATGCAAGCTGAACTTATTTTTTCAATATTCCAGGAGAGACACAATATAAAAACAGTTTATAATTACCCAAGCAGCTTCTGTCAAATTAAGATTCAGCGCCTCACTGCATACCGGAAATATGAGGAAAATTACTCTCTTCATCAACAAAGATCCAAAAATGTATTTTTCATAGAACAATTTAAAAGTACTTTCATCTAAATCACGGCCTGGAGATCTTATATCAGAAAAGATGAGTAATGAAAGCATAATATAAATCAATAATCAATAAGTTCTTGAAATGAGAACACCTCTTGTACAAATTAAGTTATAAATACTAGAATTTTAGTCTGCAGATGTATATAGCTTTTCAACAAGTAGAGCAGCTTATGCATTGCCCAGTAAAATCTAACATGGTGAACACTGAACAGAGAGAAAAGTGAACCCGCAATTACCTGAAATAAGTTGGTAGCCAAGATAAACAGGTATAGTGACCCCAGCTTCCACAAAAGTGAGTGTATATCATTGCCCAAACAGCAGAGCTTTGGAAAAATGACTTCCATGGAATCTCCTGTAGTAAGATACCCAAAAGATGAAGCATTGACTTAAAGCAAACTATAAGGTTTTGGGTTTTCAAAACTATTTGCTTGTAGGCCATTTTGGCACCATTTTAGGGGACATGGTTTTAAACCAAGTGAGTGCAACTAGAATATAATTCCACTCCTCCTTCGATAGAAGGTTATGCAGTTCTCCTATTATAGTTATTGCAACTACGTACTTACAGTAGAAAAAATAATAGGCTTGACAAAGTGAATTCTCGCTAAATTCAACCTCATATCAATTAGAAATGAAATAAAGAACATATCCAGACATAGACATAATATTAGATAACCTAACCTTCAACGAGCTCCCCAACTCTTCCTTTGTAGCGTTTTCTGATTTATGCGAATTAGAGATCTCATTACCTATCAAACAAAGGGCAATCCTGATTGTAAATGGTGTTCAAGTCCAAGATCCCAATAACTGAGTGGAGTATTAGTTATAATAGTTGGCCAATAAACAGACAACAAAAGATTATCTGGCTACGTGTACATCCAAAGAATTGCTTCACTCCCAATACAGTATATGCTTCAGTTCAAGATAATATGAACTAAATAGTGGGTTAAAGAAAGATTTACAAGTAATTCTCATCTGTTACCCTTTTGTTTCCATATTATAAAAGAAACGACTAGAATGGCTTTCACAAAACATAAATCATGGACAAAACGACACAGTAAGTAAATGTGTAATAAATACAATTATGTGACATCTAAGCTCCCTGGTTTTATCCATAACCTCAAACAAACGATGGGACTTCGATGAAAGATATTCAAGATTAAATAAAGTTTGAATAAGCAAAAAGAAGGAGAAACCACCTTTATATGAAACTTCTTCTTCATTAAGAAACTGAAACCCGACGAACCTTCAACATATAGAGGAAAAACTGAGAATACAGAAATACTAACAAAGCATGTTGGCATCTTGGTATGAATGATGAAAGAAATAAATTCAGCCATCAATATTTGATAAAGAAGAATAGTCAGAACAACAATGTTGTGAAAGTCTTTAGTAAGCAATCGATGAGACTTACCAGCCAACACCAAGGAGACCAAACAAGTAAAAGACAGATTCCCAATTAAAGGTTTCGATAATCGGAGGAGCCAAGAGAAGCCTGCAGACATAATAACGTTAGTCTGTGCAAGTCTCAAAGCTGTCCATTCGTCTTCATTAGAGTATTAACCAAATCATAAACATTGATAAATAAAAACCACATACTTGTAATTTCTATAGTTTAAGTATCACATCAAGAAAAACATACCCCATTACACTCCCCAAACTCAATCCTCCAAAAACAAAGCCTACCGCCCTTGAGCGCTCCTTAACAGGTATTGTCCTGTAACCAGCAATTGAATGGCGCAATCAGGATATGAAAGAAGGGGCTTAAAGCTATAGAGCAATATGTTCAGCCAGAAAGTTAAGCATAAAGCGACTAAATGCTTGTATATGTATTCAGCTTTAGTAAAGAAAGGGTTTTCATAAGGAAAAAAAAGTCCAGTTCTCGAATATTAAGTTGCTCATCGGCCATTGAAGACCAACCTATGGAAAATATGGATTTCAGTAGATTATCATATCTAGATCATGAGCTAAAATTAAATTTAAAGACAATTCTGCATAAGTAATTAAACACATCATTTATATTCAATTAGTATGAGCACTCTTCAAATTTGCCCCAGATTGATACATGCCTGGCAATAAGGTCTGTCGCAGCCGATGGGGAAACACCTTCTCCTATTCCCACCTGGAGTTACAAATCTCTGTGTTAAGACAAAGACATAATGTAAGGCTAGAGTAGGGTAGGGGAGAGAAGGAAAGAGCTTAAGAGTGTTCATGGGACTTTTTACAAGCTTAATAAACGAAGGAATTTGTAACAAGATCATGACTCTAAAGAAACTAGAATGATAGCATAAATCAGTATAATGCTTACCAAAATTCGAGAAAAGATTAAACCAGGCATAAATCCAGCAAGTAGTGGAACAAGAGCTGTAGCGAATGACCATGTAAAGACACCAATCTCAAGCACTTTTCTGCATTAGAAAAAAAAAAAAAAAAAAAGAAGGATACCAAATCAGGACCAGTCCTGAAAGCAAAACTGGGAAGAGCCTTAAAAAAAAAAAAGACAAACCTTCCACCAAAAATCTTGGAAAGCCAACCTCCAGGCAACTGGCTCAAGGCATAACCCCAAAAGAAGGATGACTGGACCAACCCGGCCACAGATGAGCTCCATCCAAACTGGTGTGACATTGGTATTATAGCAATACTCAAGTTCACCTGCAAATTCTCACCAGACAATATACTTAGTCAAATGATGTGGTCCTCACAATCATAATCTATCTCCTCCACAATTCATGTGTTCATATCATTACCATAAATCACCTAAAGAAGGAAGGAATCTTGATCAACAACAAGAAAGGCTACGCCTTTACAAAAATTGAATCAAATTCATAAGACCCTAATCCTCATATCTCATTTAAGCTAAACTAAAACCATACCAGAAGAATTGCAAGAAATTAGTTTCAATATTAAAGCGAGAAACCTTGTCCATATTGCAGATAACAAAGGCGAGAGAAGTAGCGCCGATAAGCTTATATCTCTGAGGTATATTTTTCCATGGAGGCCAATTCTGTTCAAACCCTGTTTCCGTACTGAGAACTTCCGGAATCGGAAGCAGGGGTTTAGGGTCTTCGATAGGATCCTTTGGAGGAAGCTTCTTGCTCTCTCTGACTCGTTCTGTGCCACTGGCGGAGCACTTAACCCTTGATTTGATAAGAGGATTGTGGTGATGGTGGGGGAAGATGGTGTAGACGGAGAGGAAAGGTTGTTTATGTGCGTGGATAGGAGAGGAGAAGAAGTGATTGTGGGGTCTCAAGGTAAGTCTCGCCATTGTTGGTGTCAGAGAGAGGAGGAAGAAGAAGCAAAATGATTCTGAATTGAAGAAGAAGAGGGAGAGAGGAGGACACGGTGGAGCAAGAAGAGAGAGAGAGAGCTTGTGTGGCTCTCTCACTGTGGACCGAATTGTCTTCTATGTGGGTCCTTCTGTGTTCAAAAGCTTCTCTTTGCGTGATTCCCTTGTTTAACACTTTTTTTTTTTTTTTGATTAGTGTCTCTAAAATTGCCAATTTAAAAAAAAAAAAAATTGGGAGTATAAAATGAGTGTTATTGTAAAAAAATACAATAATAATTAGTAATAGATAGATTATAGCGGACTAAACTTGTCCATAGCTAATACCATGTTATCTTTTGCTTCTGATTTTCCTTATTTAAGAAGATCATACAACATATAAAATAAGTATTGTTGTGGGATCTTGATCTTATCCCGCTCTATTACAACTATTAGAGCATCATTTACTAATGATTTGGGATTAGTCTATAAATCAAGAATCTAAAAATCAAAACAACTTGTAGATGGGCTTCATATTAGTAGGATTGTACTATCCAAAATTTTTTTCTGTTCCAACTGGCTTTTGATTCTCATTGAACGTAGCAAATAGAAATCCATTAATGCCACTGTTTGGTCTTTTGGGCGTTCCCTTACCGCTTTCCACATGTTTAACAAAATTTCCGTTGTATATAGACGCGATATCTGGCGTTTTTAAGTTCTCGTTACCAGCAGATGGCCATCCGCTCTCTGTTACCACCATCGATCGGTAAATCTTTTACGCCCTCTTTCTCCATTGCCCATATGAACGCATCAAATATTACATCGAACATGTTTGAATAACCAAGTGGCCCATCTTGGACCACGACCGCGTCAGTGTTGAAGATAGCATAATCAAGCTGAATGTTGACAGGATCATCAGCATAAGCGAAGTAAGGGTAGATGTTGACGAGAATAGGCGTACTTGTTTGAGACAAAAACTTCAGCACTGGGTTAGTTGTTCACGAGCCTGAGGCGTGAAATCTCCGGCGGAAGGTGGATATGACTGGCCAAGATTCCATTAGCCACAGTGGTGCTGATCAAGATTGGGAGACTCTTCGACTTGACAACGTTGGTGAGAGATTGCATGACAGGTAGCACGTAAGATCCGATTTCTCCATGGATGATTTCATTACCAACAGTAATGAATGTAATTTTGACGTCAGCTAAGTAAGGCTCAACGTTGGTGTTTACAGCGTCTTCGTTTACCGAGAGAGCTTGTAAGTCTTGGTTCTTAACACCTACCATAACTCCAATATCGAGGTTCCCTCGGAAAGCGTTAAGGACATCCGTATTCGTGTCGAAAATCCGAATATTGGTAACACTTAATGACTTGTAGAGGTTGATAACTTCAGAAGGAGGTGGGAGGTTGTCTCCAAGGAGGCCGTAGTTCAAGCCAATGTTTGTTGCTGCGTCTACAAAGCCAACATTGTTATAATTTAACAGAAATGACATGCACGAGATCATCAACAAGAATGATTTTTTAGGACAATCCATAATGAAACGTGTGCCTGCAAAATAGAGATAAATTTAGTACTTTAATATCAAATCTATACATTTTTTTTTGTATGTGTATAGATTTAGTACTTTAATGTCAAATCTATACACAAGATGATCATACTTGTCTGAAGAACAGGCACGATGGATGCAAACCAAAGATGTTTCTCTTTTCTTTTTCTTAGTCGTTGCAAAACAAAGGTTGTAGATGCATGTAATTTGTATACATAGTTGAGATTGTTTTCTGTTTTATTAGTTCCACTAAAAGAAATTTTGGCTACAAGAACCTATTTAGTAAACATTTTGTTTCTAGCTTTTTTTTTTTTTGGGCGTAATTTAGTTGGCCAATATGCCTATTTACAAGTCCGCTAAATTTTAATTTATTTTCTATTAATTTTGCTCTAATTTATCTACTCTTCAAAAATAAACTAAAACTAGCATTAGGCCCGTGCTAATGCACGGATATAGTATTTATTTTATTTTTTACTAAAATTAAAATATATTTTGGCATCAAACATTTATTTTGGTATAATCTAAAATATTTTAATAATTGGAGAATTTAATTTAATACTAATGTAAGATAGTATGTATATTTCATAAAGTTGTAACAAAAAAACCAAAAATAAAAAATAAGCTATTAATCTAATTAATAAAGAGATAGGAGTGAAAATAAATACACGGATAAGACAATTGCCAGGTGGAATCTCACTCTCATCTCCCCTATCTCTTTCTCCTGTTCCCTTCAATTACCCAGAAAAGTGAGGGTTTTATGTTGAGAGAGACCATGGAAAAGTGATAAGCAATTAAACGTGAATCAAGGTCAGATTGCTAACGTGTAGACGTAAACACATATATCACAAACAAATGTATTGAAAGGTAATCTATTAAGCATGACATATTTAATAATCTTTGACAACTATAACAAAATAAAAAACTGAAATTGGAGATGGTAAATTAAGGATTGATTGAAAATTAAGAGAACACATTGGATTCCTTTTGGATTGGGTTCAGTTCGTAACTGAATCATGTAACAAAATCATTATGTACTGTAAATGCTTTGTAGATCTAAGGAGAAAGTTAAACACTTATCCAAAACGTAGAAAATTGGATAATACCGAATAAAATTCTGCAATTGTTTTCTGATCTGCCAAGGAAAATGAAACTTTTGAATGCTTGCTTGAGCTTGAAGACGTATTTGGCGAAACTGTAAACACATAAACACATATATTGAAACATTGTTTATTAAGCATGATATAAGAAATCTTTGACAGCTATAACAAAATTAAAAACTGAAATTGGAGATGGTAAATTGATACCTTTGGGGTGAAAAAAGTAACTGATTTCTGAGACTAATCGATGTATGATGATGAGAAGACCATCTTTTTCTTTTATAGATAAGTCATCGAAATTTTGGAGAAGAAGAAGTGGAAGAGGTGGAGATCATGGGGATGAAAGAAAAAAGGGTTTTGAGAAAATAAAAAGCTAAATAAAAACGATTTCCTTTTGTTATAAGTATTAGATATAATCAAACTCCTCCGTGAAAAATGAAAGAGTAAGAAAATTGTACTAAGCTGATGTGTCAATCAGAGAATGCATCAGTTATTGAAAAAGTGACTGTTCATTTAGTATAATTAGATTTATCTAGAAGTATGGAGCCAACCCAGGATTGAACTAATAAAATTTTCAGAATTACACCACATAATTACCCTGTTCTAAAAATCTCCGCCTAGACCCGATTACTCCCTGCTTAATCGCTAGGCCCACCCTATCCGCCTCGATTAATGACTAATCCCCTAAAAAATCAGTAACCCGATTATTCTCCGCCTAATCCGATTACTTCCCGCCTAATCTTATATACTCCGATTATTTTTTAGATTGCAAGTATAAAAAAACTTTTTATTTTTGTTATTCAATCATTTGAATGGAGAGTTTGTGATGTTTTACAATAACTTGGGTTCAAATTTTAATAAAAATCATAAATTTGTAATAAAAATCATAAATTTTTACAATATTGGATTAATATATTTTAAAAATATTAAAATAACCCTAAAACTAATCCCCGATTAATCCCCGATTTTAATCCGATTTTCCGATTAATCGCTAGGCCCATGCCGAGCGCCCGACTAGCGCCTTGCGATTTTTCAAACAAGGCATAATTATATGATTTAGAGAATTGAATTTTAATAGATTTTTCTTTTGTAAAATTAATTTATTCATTCCTATTTTCCAATCATAAAGTGTTCCTGAAGAAACTGATTTCTGTCGAAATATGAATTTGCAATATTACTGAAAGTAACAGAAGTGATTTGTTTGGGGGAAAAAACAAGTCTTCGAAGTTCGAAAAAAAAATGTTATCAAAAGGGCATCTTTGAACTGGGCAACTTGCTTCTTGTGCATATTAAAATAGTGTTATCTTTTAATCTTTGGCTTTAAATGACAAACGAACGAAAAAGTCAAGATCGTCGTTGGTCTATAAGAAGCAAAACGCTCATCATATTCAAGATCCTCCAAAATCAGTAGAACCATGGAAAAGCCAAAGTTCAAGACTGTCCAAGAGGTGGTTGCAGCCGGCGAAGGACTGCCGGTGAGATATCTCCACGTACCCACCGGAGACGGCGAAGTTCAACCTCTTAACGCTGCGGTGCCGGAGATGGATATTCCGGCCATCGATCTCAGTCTTCTCCTCTCTTCTTCTGAAGACGGTCGAGAAGAGTTGAGTAAACTTCACTCGGCACTCTCTACATGGGGCGTTGTTCAGGTTTGACCCTCTTAGTGATTGATCAGAGTCATGGAATCTTGTTGAGTTCCGGTGATATCATGGAAGTTGGTTTCTTATTGATGCAGGTGATGAATCATGGAATTACAGAAGCGTTTCTTGACAACATTTACAAGCTAACCAAGGAGTTCTTTGCGCTTCCGACCGAAGAGAAACAGAAGTGCGCGAGAGAGATTGGTAGTATCCAAGGATATGGAAACGACATGATTCTTTGGGATGATCAAGTTCTTGATTGGATCGATCGTTTGTATATTACTACTTACCCTGAAGATCAGAGACAACTTAAGTTCTGGCCTCAAGTCCCACTCGGATTCAAGTAAAGTTTATTATACATTTCGATTCAACAGCATCTTTGTTCATTGACTATAGTGATTTGACAAATCGTTTGTTCAGGGAAACTTTACATGAGTACACAATGAAGCAACGGATAGTGATTGAGCAATTCTTTAAAGCCATGGCTAGATCTTTGGAGTTGGAAGAGAATAGTTTTCTAGACATGTATGGAGAAAGTGCTACTATGGATACAAGATTCAACATGTATCCTCCGTGTCCGAGGCCGGACAAGGTTATTGGGGTTAAACCGCACGCTGATGGCTCGGCTTTCACTCTTCTCTTACCGGACAAAGATGTGGAAGGGCTTCAGTTCCTCAAAGATGGGAAATGGTATAAAGCTCCTATAGTCCCTGATACAATTTTGATCAATGTTGGTGATCAAATGGAGGTAATCAATCACCTACATATGCATATGACTTTGAAAGATTGATTGATGTAGATTTGAAATAAATAACCTCTCTTCTCGTGTGTGTTTTAGATAATGAGCAATGGGATATACAAGAGCCCGGTTCATAGAGTGGTGACTAACAGAGAAAAGGAAAGGATATCTGTGGCAACGTTTTGCATTCCAGGTGCAGACAAAGAGATTCAGCCTGTGGATGAGCTTGTGTCTGAGGCAAGACCAAGATTGTATAAAACAGTTAAGAAGTATGTGGAGCTCTACTTTAAGTACTATCAACAGGGTCGAAGACCTATTGAAGCTGCATTGATCTGATAATACGCTCAAGTCTCCAATCTGGTTTGAATCTGTTTCTTTAGTTGCTTGCTCCTTAAAGAAAACACTGTTGCTTTGTTTTGTTGGAAATGTGAGGCTGCATTGTGTTGTGTTGCAATTCTTAGACAAGAAAGAGAGTCTAAAGTTGATTTTCCCATATCAATTGCTATGAGAAATGTTTTTTTCAACACATTGTCAAAGAAAAACACAAGGAACATAAGAAATCATTGGAAGTTATGTAATATCCATGGTCAGTTCTAACACTAAAAACAGAGGTTAACACGAAAACAGAGTTCCACACTAAAACAGATAGTCAAATTATTTTGCATAATTGTTATACTATAATGTCTTTCATTCTTTTGTTATTAATTCTAGGTTTGCTTTACTTTTCGAGGACGCTGAATATTCGAATCTTTCAAATCGAACATTCCAAAAAAAGACGCGATTCTGACGGCTAATGTCATCATTGGCCAACCAGTCTTCTCTGTTTGTCTTCCATGTTTCTCTCTTACAACATCAATCATTCACCCAAAACACTCTCTTTCTGTCTCTTTCCTCGGAAGATTTTCCTTCTCCGGTGTCAAATCGCCGTGGAAGGTGATTTTTCCGGGAAAGTCTCCGTTTTGTTTCTCCTAAACAGCTCAAAGACTCGTCTCGTCTCCTTCTTGTAAATGGCGACGACGGTTATGTCCCTAGCAGAGAAAGTGCTCGAAAGAGTCTACGGAACTTCCAAATCCGCCGTTTCCGTAGCAGGCGGCGAAAGCGAAAAGACTCACCGTCACACCCATCATCACATTCATCGTAGCAAAAGCTACGACGACAGCGACGATGATGTTTGTTACAGCGACGAGGATGAATCATCAATGGAGCTTGTCCAGATCGGTGCTGAGAGGACAAAGAACGTCTTGATCCTCATGAGCGACACTGGTGGCGGTCACCGTGCCTCCGCTGAAGCTATTCGCGACGCTTTCAAGATCGAATTTGGAGACAAATACAGAGTAAAGAACAATGCTGAGAAATTGTAGTTTATTCTCACCCTTAAAGAACTGATTTTTGATTGAGACTTGTATGATTTTGACAGATAATTGTGAAGGATGTGTGGAAGGAATACACAGGGTGGCCATTGAATGATATGGAGAGATCATATAAGTTCATGGTGAAGCATGTTCAGCTATGGAAAGTTGCTTTTCACAGCACATCTCCCAAATGGATCCACTCTTGTTATCTAGCAGCCATTGCCGCCTATTACGCTAAGGAAGTAGAGGCGGGTTTGATGGAGTATAAGCCTGAGATAATCATTAGTGTTCATCCTTTGATGCAACATATTCCATTGTGGGTTCTCAAATGGCAAGAGCTACAGAAAAGAGTTCTCTTTGTCACCGTCATTACTGATCTCAACACTTGTCATCCTACTTGGTATATATTATTAGCTTGGTTTAGTCTTTTAGAGAAGATGGTAGCTGCAAAGTTTTTTTTTTTTAATCTTCTGTGGTTTAGGTTTCATCCGGGGGTGAATAGGTGCTATTGTCCGTCTCAAGAAGTGGCGGAAAGGGCGTTGTTTGATGGGCTCGATGAGTCTCAAGTCCGTGTTTTTGGTTTACCTGTCAGGCCATCTTTTGCACGAGCTGTTTTGGTGAAGGATGATCTAAGAAAGGAGCTTGAGATGGATCAAGATCTTCGTGCGGTTCTACTGATGGGAGGAGGGGAAGGTATGGGTCCTGTGAAAGAAACAGCCAAAGCTCTAGAGGAATTTTTGTATGATAAAGAGAACAGGAAGCCCATTGGGCAAATGGTTGTTATCTGTGGACGTAACAAGAAATTGGCATCTGCGTTAGAAGCCATTGAATGGAAGATTCCTGTCAAGGTGTATATGATTATAACAAACCCCTTTGCCATTATTAGAGAGGTTCATAGTCTTCAAGAATCGACATTTAATGGATATTTACATTATAGGTTCGAGGATTCGAGACTCAAATGGAGAAATGGATGGGAGCTTGTGACTGCATCATCACAAAAGTAAGAGGATTTTGGTTTTTATGCCTACCTCTGTTCACCAAAATGTTCATAAGCTAAGTGTCCTACGAATCTTGCAGGCTGGACCGGGAACAATTGCTGAATCGTTGATCCGATCACTCCCAATCATCCTCAACGATTACATTCCCGGACAGGTCGGTTGAGATTTGCATTTTTAATGTTACCAGCTCATATATGTATAAATTCTCATATCAATCACACTTAAACTAAACAGGAGAAAGGGAATGTGCCGTATGTGGTGGAGAATGGTGCAGGAGTGTTCACAAGAAGTCCCAAAGAGACAGCTAGAATCGTTGGGGAATGGTTTAGCACAAAGACAGATGAGCTGGAACAAACTTCAGAAAATGCACGTAAACTAGCTCAGCCTGAGGCAGTCTTCGACATTGTCAAAGACATTGATGAGCTCTCAGAGCAACGAGGTCCTCTTGCTAATGTCTCTTACACTCTTACCTCTTCTTTTGCCAGTTTAGTTTGATGTCCGATGTCTTATATTAACATGTCTCCCTTAGTAGTTCTTTGTCTGTTACTTTTTCTTTTATTTTCTTTAATTTGTTTATTGATTGAAGTTGTATGTATTATTTTCAAGCAAAAGGTTCATGATGTTTTTGCATTATTGTTAGCCATTGCAACAATTTTAAGATTCAACAAGAGATTCTTGTTCATATAGAATCACACAGAGAAGTAGAGAACTACAAGAAATGGAAGCACATAATATTATTTCACATTACTATTTATTTTGTCGATATTTCACATCATTAGAGACAGGCTTAGCTTACACATCTCTACAATAATTATTTGAGAAGTAGAAACGCACCATATTGAAAGTTAGGGCATTGGAGGCCTGTGGTTAAAAGTTGGAATGATTTGTCCTAAACACCCTTAATGAATTATTCTTCTCGAAATTTCTTCTTCTTCGTAATTAGGGGTATATAAGTCTAATCGTGTGTTGATCTCTATAATAATGTCTCAAACACCCTCAATTTCGAAATTTTTTGTTCTTAATTGTTAAGGGTATATAAGTCTAATCGTGTTTTGAGATGATTAGTCTTAATCACCCTTAAATTTTTTTATTTTATAGTGTAATCGTTGGGGATACGGATGTCATAATGTCTCGACTTTAATGATTATGGAATCTTAGCTTAAATTTATTTGTTAATTTTTTAGATAATTCTATATCTTAGTAGTTAATATTCGTTTTTGTTAGTTTTCTGATTTTGTTTCTAATTAAAAAGTTAAATTTCTTAAGATAATAATTGATGTTTGCCCTAATCTTAAAGCTATATATATTGTTGATCGGCCAGAGAATTAGGTATTATTTTTTCTGTGCCCATTAGATAGTTTTCACCATTATGGTTTTTTTATACAGCTACGATTTTGATAAATCAAATTGTTTGTCATGCATATATTGTTTTCATTTACCTTTAGAGGTCGTGTGCATATTGTTTGCTGTTTGTTTTATTTTTTACATTAGTTTGTTAATTTATTGTTTTGCTGATTTGATTCTTTTGGTATGTGTTTCAGTTTTGTAGAGCGTGGGAGGTTCTATCGACAAAGCTTTTGGACGAAAGTGGTGTTGATGATAACAGAACGAGGTTTGGAAAGGTATTTTTACATCTATTTACCTATTTAAATGTTTGTGTTTCTTTCTGTTATGTACATAGTTTGGATTATGATCACTCGTGGATCGTTAATAATTTATGATCAATTGTGCTGACTGAGAGAAACTAAGATTTTTTTTTTGGTTCTCACCGTTTTTCTAAGTTCGCTTTGAGAATTTATTATATATTTATTTTGTATGAATAATTTTATTGGAAAAAATGATGTTTAGGGATAGTGTACACGTACTCGACGGGGGTGAATTACACCTAAGCTTAGATGTCTTCAAAAGGCCATCACTCACAACAACATCCTCTTCACCTCAATGGCTTCACGTAAGTGGATTCAAAATAATTTCTCTATATAATATATCAAGTTAAGTGAATGAACATATATAATGTAATGTTGTTGAAAATTGTGGTTGCAAGATATGTTGTGTTCGGGACTAAGAAGCATGGGAACGGGAAGATTGATGAGCTAGAGAGGCATATTGAGTCTTTGATATGGGAAACTGTTAAGGAAAGAGAAAGGGAATGTGTGGGATTAGATGATTACGAGAAGGTAATCTCTAATCTAACTATATATATTTGTATTTTATTATGAATTATTTATATGATTTTCTTTTTGTTTTTTTGAAACTAACATTAATTAATTTACTTTCTAAAATATACTGGGTCTCTTTTGAATCTCGAGAAAAACAGAGTTCTCTAAAACGAGATCGGTCGAGATTGCATAGGTATGTCTATCGTGATGAAACTGTTAAATAGATATTGGGCTTTTAAGCAATTCTATCGCTTTAAAAAAATTTTGTAATCGTGAGAGAAAACTTTAGGGTTTGATTGTTTCAATTTTGATTTAGAATACGGAATTTTCGTTTTCTTTTTCTTTTTTTAAATAGTAAGGTAAATTCTAAATATATTACGGATATTTTTATCAAGAAAATTTCTAATTTTTAAAAATTAAAATTTAAGAAATAATTATGACGGTTTGCCCTAGATATTAAGGTATAAATATAGAGCTTCGGCCACACCATTAAAACTCATATTCGTTAACCTAAATATATAGTTTTGATAATATATATATTTTGTATTGTTTTGGTTCTAATGAATCGAATTTACTATGGAATGATTATGATTGTTTTCTTCATGTTGAGATGACACTGATTTCATGATTTAATTTTTTATAGATTCTGATTTCTTCAAATTGAAATATTAATTATTTTTACGTTTGTTTGCAGGTTGGATGTGTGGAAAGAACACATCGATGTTGAAAACGTTGGAATGCAAGCTAACACAGCCAAGATATTGGTCATGCAAAGATCTCTTATGATTTTGTGACTAAGAATTTAAGTGTGACTTGGGCTTATGAGCTAACAACCTCTGATCCTAAGGAGAGTTCAAGCCTTTCTTACATCATCGACCTCGCAAACCATCAGAAGTAATGTTCGGGTTTATAGCTGCTGCTGGAACAAACACAGAGGAACATAGACTTTTATCATGGGAGCTCAGTTCAAATTTGGATATCGAGAAAGCCGATAGCAAGATAGGATTGGTAGTTGGCATTTCGGTTTCCGGGTTTGTTTTACTGATAGTTTTGGTCCACACGATCGTGGTGGTTTGGTCACGGAAGCAAAGAAAAAAGAAGGACAGAGATATAGCAAACATGATATCGATAAACGAAGATCTTGAAAGGGAAGCAGGACCAAGAAAGTTTTCTTATAAAGATCTTGTGTGAGCAACCAACAGATTCTCAAGCCATAGAGAGCTAGGTGAAGGAGGATTTGGAGCGGTTTATGAAGGAAATTTGAAAGAAATCAATACAATGGTTGCGGTGAAGAAATTATCCGGTGATTCAAGGCAGCGAAAGAAAGAGTTTTATATGAAGTTAAGATCATCAGCAAACTGAGACATCGAAACATGGTGCAACTCATTGGTTGGTGTAATGAAAAAAACGAGTTCTTGCTGATATATGAGTTAGTGCTAAATGGTAGCTTGAACTCCCACCTCTTTGGCAAAAGACCCCATTTACTTTCTTGGGACATAAGGTACAAGATAGCTCTTGGTTTAGCCTCTGCTCTGCTTTATCTTCATGAAGAATGGGATCAATGTGTACTGCACAGAGACATCAAAGCAAGCAATATAATGCTTGACAGTGATTTCAATGTAAAGTTAGGTGATTTCGGTTTGGCTCGGGTTATGAACCATGAACATGGTTCCCATACAACAGGATTGGCTGGAACTTTTGGGTACATGGCACATGAATATGTAACGAAAGGAAGTGCGAGTAAAGAGTCTGATATATATAGCTTTGGAATTGTTTTACTAGAGATTGTCACAGGGAGAAAATCGCTGGAACGAACGCAAGAAGATAACAGTGATTCAGAGAGTAATGAGAAGAGTCTTGTGGAGAAAGTTTGGAAACTTTATGGAAAACAAGAAGTGATGACTTCGTCTGTTGATGAGAAATAGGGTAATGAATTCGATAATAAAGAAGCTGAGTGTCTTCTGGTTTTAGGGTTGTGGTGTGCTCATCCTGATAAAAAAGCTCGAGACCTTCGATAAAACAAGCGATACAAGTCTTGAATTTTGAGTTACCATTACCTGATCTTCCATTTAAGAGGGATGTTGCTATGTATTACATCTCAATAACTACGACTTCTTCTTCTTCTCCCTAGGTTAACTCAAATGGAGTTTCGGTATGTATTACATCTCAACTCTGCTCTGTTTTTTTTTTCATCTTAAAGTATTATTGGTCATGCTCTTGGAAAATGATTATTCTTTGCATAATCATACTTAATATCATTTGTACATTGTTATTAATACTACTTTGTATGTATTAGAGATGAGAATATTTTAAACATTCCAGTGTTTTCCTTCTTTTAAGTTTTATATATATATATAGATAGGTAATACTCGATCTTTTATGAACCGGTGGATAGGTAATATTCGATCTTTTATATATAATTTGTTTTCATTATGGATTTATAATTTAGATTAAGGTTCCAATGTTTCCACGTTTTAGAGTTTGTAAACGTGGTATTTCTCTTTTTTTAGTCAAGCATAAATTCTCCAAAAATATTAGGGTTTGTTTGATCCTTTTTCTCTATGAGCGGCTATCCAAGACGAGTTCAAAGTTGAGATTGTAGAGGTATCATTGTTTTTTATTGGTGGTTGTGTTTTCATATTGGTGTATTTCTACTTTTACATTGATTTCTCTGGTTGTGAATGATCAGTTGATTAAGTTGTTTGATATTTGAGATTTTGGTTCTTTTTGTTTTGTTTTAAATAATTTGTGATTTCGTATATTTAAAATAATATTTTCATTTTGTCTTTCATATTTATGATTCGGTTACATCCAGGGATGGGTTCATACGAAAAATATAGATATTTTTTTTAGGATATTTGCTTTCTTGAAACAAAAAGTTGAGTGAATTGTTTTTAGGTTACGCAATTTTTATTAGGTTTAAAATATTTTGAGATTGCTTTTGATCGTGCAATATACGGATTCGTTAGTGCCAGATTAATTTATTGAAAAGTTGTTCCTCCTTCTTTTTCTTTATTTTATCAATACCCTAAGAGATCTAATATCGTATGCATCAATAAAGTATCTTCTTTTACATTATCGGTGGATCCATTATTTTTTTATATTTATGGATAGTAAGAGATCTCACCGAACTTGATGCAGCTACAACTACGTTACAACGGTGTACAAGAGTTACATGACCAGAAGGAATTTTTGCAGATTGTGCCATCGTTGTTGAGGAGCTCTGGTGAGTTACTTGATCCATCTTCTTCTTTTTAATTTCTTTTAAAGATGTTTAGGCTAACCCTAATTGGTATTGCTTGAAATGTTGTAGGTGGAAGACTCTAGAGGGTAATGCTCTGGATTTGAGCTATGTTCTTTTTTTTTTTATAAGAAGAGAAACATGAGGCGATGTTTCGAAATGGGCGCGAGCTAGAAAACGAGGTGCTAACGTCTGACATCATTTTATCTCTGTTTACTTATAACTCAAGGTGT